GCAGAGGTTTGGGGTGCAGATTTTGGTCTTGGATTAAAGGATTTGGAGCGTGAGGGGGTTCTGAACTGAGGTTGGGCAGGCAGTTGGAGATGCTGGAGGGGGTTCTACGTGCAGTCTCTAGGAGGGCGTTTGCATGCAGGAGAGTTCGGGGCTAAAACAGGAGCGTAGGGTGCAGGTGTCCTGTCATGACTTGGGTAGGGGTTTGGGATGTGGGCTCCATCATGGCACTTCTTACCTCAAGTGGCTCATGGGGGGTGGTGCAGTGGAGCTAAGGCAGGCTCACCCCTGTCCTAGCCCTGCATCACTCCCAAAAGCAACCAGCAAACTCCATCTCAAATTCTGTTGTGTCCCCTCTCTGCTCTGGTGAGAGAGAATAGAGAGTGGGAAGAGGGGCACCTTGACATCAGCACCCCTCCTCTGCCTCTCCTGCTATACACAGAAAGCAGGAGGCTCTTGAGGGGACAGCTCCAAGGCAAAGGGCAGGTGATGAGCAGCAGTGGGGGGAGGGACAGTTGAAGTGCTGGCACTTGGTAGCCTCTTGGCCAAACCAAATAGGATCCCTTGTCTGAGGTTCCAAGATCTACCAGTAGATCCCAATCTACTGCTTGGTGACCACTGACTTAGAGCATCTAATTCAGGAGAAGTTACTTAGAGATAGGGCTGCCACACCCCAAGACAAGGGGTCCTTCGCCAGGTCAAAAAGAGGACACCTACCAATACACCAACCAGTCAAAAAGAGAACTTCTGTTTCAACACAGTGGCTAACAAGAAGTGATAGAAGCAATTTCCTCAGACATTCCAGTTCCACTGTCTTACCACCAGTAGCACTCCTTATACAGATGAGTGGCTATGAAAACCAATCTCATCAAATAATAGGTTCTTCCAACTCAGAAGAACCAGCCACACTGCCCAGGTCAATTTATAACTCATATCTTACACAAAAATCACATTTTTGCCAATCCTTTAGTATCTAATCTAAAGGTCTGTTCATAAAAAAAATTGAGATGAATGTTAAACTTGTTAAAGGAATCAATACATACAACAATTGCAAAGTTCTTGGTTCAGGCTTGCATCAGTGATGGAATAAATTGTTTGCTTTGTCTGGAAATGGGTGACAGGAGAGGGATCACGTGAGGATTACCTCACGTGTTCCCTCCCTGTAGGGCATCTGGCATTGGCCACTGTCGGCAGACAGGATACTGGGCTACATGGACTGTTGGTCTGACCTAGTATGGCCATTCTTATGTTAAGTCAAATTTCTGGTTACTTCCAAATCACTGGAAGGAACTCAGTTCCTTTGTTGGAATGTTCCCATTGGCATAAATCCACAGTCTTCAGGAGTAGTGAAGCTGGAGCAGGAAAGAAGCAAAATAGTGGAGTTCTTAGGGCCTTTTATATCTTCTCCCATATGGAGGGACTCCCATTGTTCTTACTGGGGAAAAATACATTTCTTGAATGCAGCTGAGTAAGACTGGTGAGACAACAGACCCGATACTGGGAGAAACCACTGTGGTTTCCAGAATGGCAACTGGAACCAGCATGGGGACACACACCAGGATCCAGTGGAACATAGGATGGGGTAGCAGTGACAGTTTTTGGGATGGAGGCAGGGTGCCATCTCAGATTCTCACAAAGAGTCCTCTAAGTCACCACGAAGGATTAATACTCCTCACTTCTGCCATATGATGCGGTCTGTTCAAGAACTGGTGCTGGACTGGGGATGACCTTGCAGAAGAAAGGAGGGTCAGATTGCCCCCCAGTACCGGGAGTGATAAGTTCTTGGCCACTACAAAGATTTCTCACATAGAAGGCACTGTGATTCTGCTGATGCCACAATGACATCCAGATGTTGTGGGAGCTCCTGGAGCTATACTCACCATTCCTCTAGGTAGACCCAACAGTATAACCATGGAACGGTGGGTGGAGAAGGAGTGGCCCAATGGGGGTCGCATTCCATTGCCACCCTTTGGTTGCCTCTCTTCAGCATGCAAGGGTGCCTGCTTTTGGAGTGCTGCTTCTTAAATTTCTTCCTTGGTATAGGAGTTGAAAAACAGTGCCAAGAAATGCAGGGTTGCCAGAGGTGTGCTTTGTAGGTCTAAGAGTGGCTTCCATTAAGCATAATCCTCTCTTTCTTCCTATGAGGATTGAAGTCCCAGCAAATCTGAAGTGCTTTCGAATGCGAGCCTTTCCCAGACACTTCAGACAACTGGATAGTAGATCGCTCACTGACTTATACTTGCCAAAAGAGGCATAAAGTTTGAAGCTCAGGGCACACCTGGACCCAGGAGCATAGGGAGCCCCTCCACACTAACGTACTATTTACATTACTAATAAACTAAATTACAGAAAAGAAAACTGCTGAAAAACACCTTGCCAAAGCAAGAGGAGATTTTCCAGTAACTATTATGGTCAGTAAGCAGGAACTGAGAGGGTGTGAGACCGGCAATGGCCCTTATGCCAGCTCATGATCATGAGACACCTGAGGCCGCTAAAGAGAGCTTGACCGTTACCAATGAGGAAAAAATCTCTGGCACTGGTGCACATAGTGTGCACACATCCAACATGGAATGAACCAGAGCAAGCACTGAAATAATAATTGGAGTTCTTCAAGATGTGTGCCCTGTGCATACTCCACTTCAATTGTGCTTGCATCCCATAAGTCTTTAATTGGAGATTTTTGGTAGCAGTGCCTATTCAGCTTGTACATTGACTCTAGACATCCTCATGTCATATACAAGAATATGTAGAGCTATGCAGGTGAACTGCCTGTTCAAAGACAAGATTTTTAAAGTAGAGGGGAGAAAGGATGGTTATGGAGTACCCATAGAGACACACATCTTGAAGAACTCTAGTTATTGCACAAAGTGAATAGTGTTCCTAATAGTGCTCCACTTTAGGTGACTCCCAAACAGTATCCCATGGCAGATTTGGAGCTGGATCCAGTACAGAAGGACTCCTATGCCAACAGCAGTGTTTGACTTAGAGGCACATACTAGAGCACAGCATTTAGAAAAAGTGCACTGATATCCAGGTTGCCACTTCGCAAATTTCATCAGTTTGCACATTTTTAATAGTGCCATAAAGTTAGCTTGGGATATTGTAGAGTGAGCTATTCAGGGGTCTGAACATCAGCAGATTGGTAACAAGCCAAATATCCACTTTGACAGTCTTTGTGTAGAGACTGTGGATCCTTTAGGTCATTCCAAAACTGAGATAAATTGTCCAGAAGACCTTCTAAACAATCCAAATAGAAGGCTAATATCCTTCTCATATTGGTGTGGCACTGGGAAAAAACAGGACAATGGATAACATGGTTAATATGTAAATCAGAGAATATTTTAAGTCTGAACTTGACACATGGGCACAATAATACTTTTTTCTTGAAGAGAATGGCAGACATGCAGAGGGAAAATCACATATTAATGATCTTAGTTTCTTGACTACACAAGCAGAAAAGATTGCCACTAAGAATGACATTGTCATAGGAAAGTACAGCAGAAGAAACTTAGCTAAAGGCTCAAGGTAGGAAGAACAAAGAATCCCTGCATAGTGAAATGAAAGGCTATAACAGCTGTCAAATAAAAACTCTGAACCCATCAAAAGATCTTGCTTCTTTTAATCCAACAGGCAATCAAGTATAGCACAGAAGGAAGAATTAACAGATAAAAACTGTCACCAAGTACACCAATGGTGAAATCTCTTCCAGCTTTAAGAGAAGTATTTCTAAAAGACATTTTTTGTGGTTTTATAGGACTGAAGGAAAACTCTACTGCTGAAAGCCATTGAAAAAAATCAAGCTCTGTGTTGGAGGATGGCTAAGTCCAGATAGTCCTCAACTGGAATCCTGAGACAGGAAATGGGAAATGGCCAACACCACCACTGAATAAGGCGTTGGAGAAGTTGGTACAACTTGAATGAATCTGGCTTTGTCTTCTTTGATCTTGTTCAACACTCTCAGAATCAACAGTATTAGAAAATGTGCAGAAAAAAAACCCTCATTCAAAGAATAAGAATGGTTTCTTCCATGGACTGATGATCCAGATGCTCCTTCAAATTGAATTTCTTGCACTGCCTGCTGGCAGCTGTAAACAGGTTGTGAGTGTGGCCTTTCACTGCTCAAAGAAGAATTATGATTTACTTACGAGTTGGTCTTTGGATTTTGCTCCATATCTTCCTAGCGATTTCCACTTTCAATTTGAGAATATTATTGAAAAATTTTACATTATTCAGATTAATACAATCACAATTGTATCTAAAATGTATTAAGATATGTAAAACAGATGCTGTAGGAGTTATTTTGGGGAAGTTCTATGGCTTGTGTTGTATAGGAGGTGAGACTTGATGATCACAATGGTCCCTTCTGTACTATGAATCACTATATAATTATAAAACAAATTCAAATTATTTAAATTCGCGCTTTAATATATACCAGAAAGAAGAAAATGCAGAAGCACTGAGTTTTCACAAACTTTGTCTGCAAACATAATTTTTTATTGCCTTTAAATAGCCTGGTTTAGGAGTTCAGTTTAATACAGAGTACTGTATTAACAGTTGATATTTTTATTTCTTTCTCCATACCCCATGATTTTCTTAATAAAACTGAGCCAATGCCATAAAGTGGTAGAACGCATATTGATTAAGTAAGTTGGCTGTAGAGTTTAGAAAACAGCACAGAAGGATGAACAGGGAAACAAATTAACTAACAAAATGTTTACCTAATATTACCCAGACTGTTTGTTTCTACGCTTTTTCCTCTTTTCTCTTTGAATTACAAACTCACTGTCACAATTAGCGAATCAACACACTATAAAAATAATAAACCAGTCATTATTATAATCAAGCTGTATTGACATGATCCAAGTGGAAACAAACAACTAAACTCAAAACTCCGGTCATCTGAAGAAGTGGGCTATGCCCATGAAAGCTCATGATCCCATCTACATGTTTTGTTAGTCTATAAAATACTACAAGATCATTTGTTTATTAAGTTTATTAATTACCTTGTAATGGATTCCCATGCTCCTTTTTCTTCTATAACCCCAATACTAAGGAGATCTTCATCAACTTTATCAGGTTTTTTTTGTACCTAGTCATTAAAATACAGAACTAATGTAATTTAGGAAAATAGCTAATAAATATAGTAACCGTAAAATTTAAGTAAAGTGGACCTAATGGCCAGATGTCCAACAGGTCCTAGTTTTCTAAATCAGCAAGTTAATGCTTTAATTGTTTAAAATTACATTGTAATAACACTGTTTCATACTATTCAAGTGTAAGTATTTTGCACACAATACACATTTAATCAATGCTGCCCACCAGGATCTTGAAACAATTTTCATAATAGTATATATTCTACAATATTATCTATATGCATTTTTCAGATTCATTCCTCTTTCTTTCTTAGCTAAGTGACCCATTCTTTCTGTGTACTTTGTAAAATTTACTCCAAGAATGCCAGAGAGTAGTAACTAATTATGTAATAGCTGATTATGCAAGAACATGTAAGAATTCACATCCTCAAATCAAAGAGCAGGCTTAAACCCTTTGGCTGCATCTAGACTGGCATGATTTTGCACAAAAGCAGCCGCTTTTGCGGAAAATCTTGCCGCCTGTCTACACTGGCCAAGAGTATTTGCGCAAGAACACTGACGTTTTATTGTGCAAAATCAGTGCTTCTTGCGCAAATAGTCTGATGCTCCCGCTCAGGGATAAGCCCTCTTGCGCAAGAAGCCAGTGTAGACAGCAACGTTAATTTCTGGTGCAAGAAAGCCCCTACACTGGCACAGATGCTTTTGCGCAAAAGCACATGCCAGTGTAGACGATGTCTTGCGCAAATACTTTTAACGGAAAAACTTTTGCGCAAAATCATGCAGTCTAGACGCAGCCTTTGTGTTTGTACATGCAAAGAGTAACTAATACACCAAATTAGTATCACTTCTTTTGATCTTTGCTCATAAAAAACTAGGCTATCAGTATGTGACATAGACCATTTTTAGGGGAAACTTGCTGTTGCACTACCCATGAAGCAGCCCATGAGGCACAATATGATTCAGTGAATCATGAGCTGTGTCCTTATCTCCCCCCTGCTTTGGAAAACAAGAAAACTGTGACATTCCTTTCATAGTGTAAGCACCTCAATGAACTGTATTTATACTCCTTCTGCTCTCTTGTGCCGAAGTCCAAGATGCTGAGGCCCAGTAGTTTCAATTTAATTTGCTAGATGGTCTCATTCTCTGAACTACAGGCATTGCATATCTTCAACTCAAATTGTTTTTTAATCACTTAATATATCTGTATGTATATAAATCTATCCAGATTATTTTTCTGTATGTATATAAATCTATCCAGATTAATTTTTTGTTAAGCTGTTATTAACTTTATATCAGTTCTGAATCAGTAAAAATATGTGGCTTTTAGTTTCTTCATAGAACTGTCTCTGAAGATATGTCCTAGATTTGACTTATGATAGTAACTAATTTAAACGAGGGTGTAGCCTTAGCTATCTGCCATGTTTAACACAACTCTACTTATTTAAATTACTTGATTACAGAACACAATCAAGGATGCTGAATTTCCAACCATATTATTTACATAATTTGGACCTAGACTGTGTGCTGAAGTTGAACATGCAGATCTCTCTGTATCAGCATGGCACACGGTGGGGTCAGCTTTCTCCATGACATTTTATTCCCTTCCCTGAGATCCTGGAAATTTATATCCATGGGACTAGGAGACTCGGAGGAAACATGAATTGTTGCCTCTTCCCTATAGCTTATACTTTTCTCAGCTTCTAAAGGTCCAACCCCAAAGCATACTGTATGAAGACGACCCAAACGGAGAAACTTTAAAAAAATTACCAGAAATGGGAAGTATTTTGGGATTCTTTACTCCTTTACAATAGATAGCTTTTCACATAATCTCACTTTCATGTTTCTTTTTTTCTGAGATAATTTGCAACTATATATGTAAAGGGATACCAATTTTTATGGAATGCAGGTATTTCTGGGAATAAAATGAGTGATATCCTTTAAAATGATGGACAGTTCAAAGGCACATCTGTGGGGAACGCTGAGTAAAAATTAAAAGAGCCAGCATCAGAGATGGAAAAATACCCTAGCAGCTCCAACAGAGCAAATATATTGGAAATGATAAAGGGACTGGAGTGGAGGGGTGGCATATCTGGTGCACTTGGCTCTGGTTTCCAGTTGACTGTAAGGAATTTGTCTGTTGTGGGAGCTAAGCCCTCTTGTTTCTTTCACCAGGAAGATCAGTCTTGTACCTTCACTGATGAAAGAATTCGTAGGAAATTCCAAATGGAAAAGCTCAATTTTTGTCACCAATACAGAATTTTTTCTGTGGAAGGAACTTGGGGCTTAGTATTTATAATAAAATTGTAATATTTATTCTATTGAAAAAAATACTCTCATAAAAATATCATGATATGATATATTTTATGGTGATACCAAAAACATGCATCATATGAACTGATGGCATGAATTCATGCATCTGGAGATTTAATTATCAAAAATATGTATAATATAGTCTGACTTTCATCTTGCTGTTAAACATAACTCAAGTCACCTGAGTGTTATTAATACATTTAAAGAAATAACACACACACCATTATCTGCTTACATACTTGCACTTCTTACATACTTGGACTTTGAGGATTTTGCTCCTGAAGTTGTTTAATACCACAATAACATCTTCCATGTGGACTGGAGAATCTGCTCCTTCATGGCTATGTGGGGAAAAAACAACAGCAGCTAACTGAATACTGATTTTTTTATTTCATTGACTACTATTGAAAAACCTACAGGCGACACTACTTGATAATTCTTCAATCACATGAGCATTTAAAATTAATAACCTATATTATATAAATGAGATTACAGGAATTTCCAATTTTATTAAATACAAGGATTAAATATATTCTTAAAACAATTATTTTTTTAATTACCCTAGCAGGTATGGATTAGTAACATGGCTTCTTATTACGGTTGCTTAATATTTCCTTATAATAGGTTGCACAAGAAATGGCTACTCACCTTGTTCAGGCATTACAGTTCTTCAAGATGTGTCTCCCCATGGGAGTTTCTCTATAGGTGCAATTGAGCCCCATGCACCTTTGATGGCAGATTTTTCATAGTGGCATCCATTTGGCCTACTGTCATGGGCAGAGTGGCTGCCCACTGACCTGGAGACAGAGGAACCCCTCTGGCAGCCATTTTGGGCAGAGCCTGATCCCTTCCAGTCACCCGACCAGAAGCTAGGAGGCATGCCTGGGCTATAAAAGCCCAGCCTGGGAACTTAGTCTGGGCCCTGCCTCTGGAGGAGCCAGAGGCTTGCTCAGTGCTCCCTGCCTAGAAGGCCAAGCTTTGGCCTGGACCTCCAACCTGGCCTAGCCTGGAGGAGCAGCCTGAACCCTTGCTCCAGCCTGTACCAAGGACTAGCTGGGAGCACCGGATCTGCAAAGGCCTGAGGGTTGGCCTTGACCCCCAACTTCATCTGACCCAGAGGACCAGCCCAAACATCTGCACCAGCCTGCACCTGAGAACTGGCTGAGCCCGTTTGACCTGCAAGTTGTGGAGGATTGGCCCAGACCCACGGACCCTCAACTCCCCAAGAGACCCGCAAGACCCCCAGGTATGCGCGGAGGGGGAGAAGGGAAGTGTCCCATGGAGTAGTGAGGGCTGTTAAAGGCCTCAGGCTAGCGTGTTTTGGGCAGGAGCCCCTGCTGAGCCAGCAGCAGCCTGTTCTGCTGCTTCTAGGGCCCTATGCTAGGACACAGTAGCATGGGCGGCCCTGTGTCCTCCCACCTACTGGGTGGCAGTCTCCCTCTCTCTGCCACCACAGGCGAGCTGCCTGCATCCCCCCGAACCAGGAGACAAACTATAGTGTTTGCTGCCCTGACCTGAACCAGGGCTAGGGCCATGAACTGATTGCCTATTGTTGAACTCTGTGACTAATAGTACTGTTGTCATTGTTGTGTTTAGTTGCTGCCCTGTCCTGACTGACGGCCGGACGCTGGACTAACTGTTGCTTGTTGCCTCGCCTGAACCAGGGCCCGGGCTCTCTGAACTGTTTACTGCTGTTTATCTATTGCCCCGCCCTGACCTAGGGCTGGGGCATCCGGGACTCTGTGTGTTTGCTGCCCTGCCTGAATAAGCCCTTGGCCCGCTGAACTTCTGATACCTATGTTTGTGTCCTGCCCCACCCTTAGTGAGGGCCCAGGGTTCTGCACTGGGGTTTAGTTGTTGCCAGACCTGAAGCAAATGGAAAACCATACTAACAGATATGCCTACCTCAATTTCCCTCTAATCCACACATAAAGAGTACAGGCTCACTGCCCATTCAGAGTCCCACTCTATGCATAATATATTAAAATATTCCTACAACAGTCCATAGAAACTTCAAGGTACACCTGTTTTCCCAATTTCTACAGTAAAACATATCATGGTACAGTAACTTTTCATTTTCCTCTCCAAGAACGCCATTCTCAGGTAATCCACTCACAAGTCCACTAGGATCCCAGGTCCTTTATGCCCTTTTTCCAGGTCACCACTCTCCAGATCATCCACTTGAGAGTGATTAGTCTCATGACTCTTCTACCCAAACAATCCAAAAACTCACTTTTTTCTTCCTCTTGTCACTGGCTTGCCAGCTCAGCAAGGTCAGCAGGTTAAGTTCTTCATTGATTTCCTAATCAAATCCTCTCTATTCCCAAGGAGAGCCTGCAGAAATTTCTTCTTTCTACAATGACCTGGTTTCTCACAGGCTGCTCTCACCTGTCCTCTTCCTTGTTCCTCATCTGTATTGTCAAGTATTTCTTACCTATCTTGTATGATCTTCCATTTATTTGGTGCTGGTGCTTTCTTTAAAACCCAACTGAGAGGTAACTAACATGTAGGTGCATCATGCTTTATAAATCACCCTATGACAAACCAATTCAGCCACTTACTCTTTGGACTTGTTCTTCAAATTAGATATCATAGAGAACATGACAAAACAGCTACTGTCATGGACAAATTATCAACTCATTGAAGTAGAGTGGTCAGCGTTCTTAGTTGCCAGGAAACAAGACAGATCCAGAAAGGTTCATGTACTCTCTAAATGCCAAATAGTAGGACTCCACTCACAGGACAAGGAATCAACAATTGGATGAATCATAATCATAGTGTAGAACCATTGTATGTCTTGATAATTGGCCCAAGCCTTACCAATCACATAAAACTCCTTGGTTTTCTGACACTGTGTACTACATGAATCACAGAATCATGAAATAATCAAACTGGAAGGAACCACGAGAGGTCATCAAGACCCATCACACACACTCAGGCAGGACTAAACACCATCTAGACCATCTCTGACCTGCTCCTAAAAATTTCCAATGATGGAAAAGCCTCATTAGGCAATTTATTCTATGTTTAATCACCCTGACAGTTAGGAAGTTTTTCCTAAAGTTTTTCCAACCCAAACCTCATTTGCTGCAATTTAAACCCATTGCCTCTTGTCCCATCATCAGAGAATAATTTTTCTCCCTCCTCCATGTAACAGTCTTTTAGATAGCTGAAAGCTACTATCATATCCCCTCTCAGTCTTCTCTTTTCTAGACAAAACAAACCTAATTATTTCAATCTTCCCTCATAGGTCATGTTTTTTAGACCTTTAACCATTTTTGTTGCTCTTCTCTGGACCTTCTACAATTTGTCCACATCTTTCCTGAGGAACCCCACTCATTATGCCCTTCCAACATGACTGTGAACCACTGATAATTACTTTCTGGTAATGGATATCCAACCAGTTATGCACCCATCTTATAGTAGCTCCATCTTGGTTGTATTTTCCTAGTTTGTTAATGAGAAGGTCATGCAAGACTGTACCAAATGCCTTACAAAATCTAAATATATCACCTCTACCTTCTCCCCTCCCCCTCCGCCCAGAACCACCAGGCTTGTTATCCTATCAAAGAAAGATATCAGGTTGGTTTGAGATGATTTGTCTTGACATAACCATGCCGACTATATCATTTTATTATGTTCTAGATGTTTGCAAATGGATTCCTTAATTACTTGCTCCATTATCTTTCCTAGTAGAGAAGTTAAGATGACTGGTCTGTAATTCCCTGGGTTGTCCTTATTTCCCTTTTTACAGAAGGGCACTATATTTGCCTTTTCTGATCTTCTGGAACCTCTCCAATATTCCATTTTTCAAAGATGATAGGTAATGACTTAGATATCTCCGCAGACAGCCCTTTGAGTATGCTAGGATGCATTTCATCAGGCTCTGATGACCTGAAGAGTCTATATTTTCTAAGTAATTTTATCTTGTTCTTTTCATATTTTAGCTTCTGAACCCACCCCATTTTCACTGGTATTCACTATGTTCACTATTCAATTATCACCAACCTTGGTGAAAACTGAAACAAAGAAGTAATTAAAAAGCATAATCTTTATTACAAGCCAAATGAAAACAGCTTCTGCAATAATAATAGATGATCTCAGGGTGCTGATTGACAAAGGCAGACATTTAATCTTCATTCTTCTGGATCCTTCTAAAGCATTCATCACTATGGACCATGAGATACTGCTGTCTTGCCTAAGAGATGTGGCAAGGAAATCATGTTAAAATTGTTTCAATCCTTCCTGGAGGGACAGACCCAAGGAACAGTTGTGGGAGATTGCACCTCTGTTCCAGTCCCCACATCACAAGGATCAGTTTTCTTTCCTGTCCTATTCAACATTCACAATCAGACTTTAGGAGGAAATACAGGTTGGACCTCCTTGGTCCGGCACCCCCCAGGACCTGATGGGTCCTGGACGAGTGATTTTGCTGCATCAGTGGAGGTCATATCTCATCAGCATCCATGAGTAATACTTTCCAGCTCTGGCTGGCTTGAAGTTAATAATGATCAGACCTCTATTATTATTTGTTATTGTGGTGCCTAGGAGTCCCAGTCCCCCTTTGTACTGGGCCTTACAGTGCTAGGTGCTGTATAAACCTAGAACAAAAGATAATCTCTGCCCCAAAAAGCTTGAATACATGCTGGTGTCACTTCTGGACAGGAAGACTAGAGGAAAGAAATATATTTGAGCATGAAGCCATCAACTCTTAAGAAACTACATAAGACAAAATGCAGCAATAAACTTCTCAACAATAAAAGCTACCACATTCGCTTCAAGTCATAAGAACATAAGAATGGCCATACTGTGTCAGATCAAAGGTCCATCTAGCCCATTATCCTGTCTGCAGACAGTGGCCAATGCCAGATGCCCCAGAGGGAGTGAACAGAACAGGTAATCATAATGTGATCCCTCTCCTGTCATCCATTTCCAGACAAAGAGAGGCTAAGGACACCATTCCTACCCATTCTGGCTAATAGCCATTGATGGACCTAATCTCCATGAATTTATCTAGCTCTTTTTTGAACCCTGTTAAAGTCTATCCTTTGCTCTCTGCACTGGATTCCCATGCAAACCTGTAGAATGGTAAGCTCTTTTTTCTTAACATGTCCTTTTAAATAATACTTGCAAAACTTAAAAGAAATAATTTTGTTTGCATTTCTAGTTTATACTACTGCTCAGTTAAGTAAATAAAAACCTCCTCATACTTAAAATCACAGTACATCATATGTAGACTAGGCACCTAAACACATAGCAAATACTGAAAATACAGAGAAGGACAAAGAAAATGAGCCAACTAATAAAAAAATACTGAAAGAAATCAATCCTGGCAGGCAAGGTAAACTATAAGCTTTAGTGACTACCCTAAATGATATTTTAGAGTGGATGGTACAAGAAAAAAATGAATGAGAACAAAACATCAAATCAGCCTGAAGTGCAGATGCAAACTGTTTTCCTCCTTCAGTATTTATCACTGCTGAGAACATAGCCCTGATTAAAAACTGGAGATGTAAGCAGATCTACTAAAAAAAAAAATGTTGCAACATACATGTTCCTGGCATGCTAGCCAGGAAGAGAAAACTAGGACTTACAGCATTTATAGAAAAGATGTTGTCCAAGTTGCTTAACACAGAGATTTAGTGTAATGACACTGAAATATTATCATAAAAACAAGAATGTGGGTTGGCCCCATTATCCTCAATTCTCATTTTATCTCCAGTAGCTCCCAATTAAACAAAGGCAATTCAGAATCAACTCTAATGAGGATTTTAAATCTCTGCAAAATGTTACTTCCGCCTCCTACTTTATGAGGCTAAGCAGTAAAACCTTTTGGTAGTTGCTCCATTTTCTGGAAAACAAAAATTGCATGAGGAGAGATCCTCACTGACACTTAACCTTTTCAAATTTCACTAATTCACACTTTTTCTCCACTGTATTTCCTAATCAGTATCATCATTACTGCTAGCTGTTAGTTCTTATTTGTGTATTGTTTTCGTTTGTTTTACTTCACTATGTTCCATATTTTGTAAAGACTGTGATACTTTTTACAAAATATGTTTGTAATGGTAAGCTTGTAATAGTTAGGTTACTGCTTACGCAAATATGTGATAGATGTCCTCCGATCTTCCTTTGCGTAATCTCAGTGTCCACGCTCCTGGATTTGCTTTCAACTGAAAATACCCCTGTGAACAAAGAGAAATAGTAGCACAGTCTGATTTTATCAAACCTTTGGAAATGACCACCTTCATGACTAAACACTGGAGACAGCATTCAGCATAGTCAGTCACCTAGGCTACTACACATAGTCTGCTGCAATTCTAGCCCTGAAATCAGTATTACAGTAATGCAGTCAAGTGCCTTTTCCCCTTCATGTTCACATTCACAAGTTCTTAGTGACTCAGATTTGCTCCTATCTGAATATGGAATTGATTTAAAGAATGTTCTTTCTACTTTTCTTGGTGAAGGTTGCAGTGGCAACATAGAATAGGAAGGACCAGACTCCTTTTTCTCTCAACAGGTTCCAGGTCCTCTTATGGGTTTCCCCAGCACTTCCAGATATTGTATCTCCAATGTGTTCTGGATTGACCTCAGAGCCTCTGTCCAGTGTATTTCCAACTGAACTATCAGTGCTCAAACTACTTCAACTGGCTCCTCTCAATCTGGAGCAGATCTGCAGATCTATTCTGCGGCCCTCCCAAATAGCTGAGCTCCTCAGCCTCTCTCAGAGAGTTTGCTTAGCCGCCCTGTGGAGAAACTTCATTTCTACCGCTTGTACCCATGATCTCATCCTTTTGGTCATTACTCAAAGCACACAACCATAAGTGTGGATGGGGACGTAGAGTGACTAATAAAACAAGAGCTTTATCCGAGAACTCTGCTCTCACTTCATTAACATAGTTTGGTACAGCCCCATATCACTGCTGCTGCTGCACTAATCCTTCGGCTGATCTCATACTTCCACTTGTCATCACTCATGAAAAGACACCGAAATACTTAAACTCGTCCACTAAAGACTGCTGCTCCTACCTCACCTCACCATGACCTCTGATTTGAAGGTGCTGACTTTCATTCCAGCCAGTTCATACTCAACAGCAAAACATTTTATGCTATTGCTTAGTTATGTAAACAAAAACAGTCTCATACTTAAAATCACAGTACATCATATGCACCTATCAGAGATACCAATCTGAAGAGGCAAAAAAGGATCTCATCATCCGCAAACAGCGGAGATGCCACTTCTCATACCCCATATCAAATGCATTCCACAGCTTGATTACCATAACAGAAGGGACCAACTGGCTAGGCAGTAGTTCAGCAGAAAAGGACCCGGGGATTACAGTGGATGAGAAGCTGGATATAAGTCAACAGTGTGCTCTTGTAGCCAAGAACCCTAATGGCATTGTGATAGGGAAGACAGAGCCTGACCTCCCTGTGGGAGGCCTTTCAGCTCCCTGGCCAGCAGCAGGGCAGTGGAGAAGTCCTCCGAGCAGGATAGAGAGGCAGCTTCCTTTGTAGCCAATCAGAGTAGGACAGGCTACTATATAAGGAGCTGCTAGTGAAGGCTAGGCAGTTCCAACCTGGAGCTTGACCCAGGCAGACCTCTGGGCCGACTGGGGACACCAGCACCTAGGACAGCTCAGAGAGGGAGCTGGGCCCATGCAGCTAAGCAGATCTAGTCCCTTTGGGTATGTCTACACTACAAAGTTAATTCGAACTAACAGCTGTTAGTTCGAATTAACTTTCAGAGGCGCTACACAGGCAAACCGCTAGTTCGAACTTAATTCGAAATAGCGGAGCGCTTAATTCGAACTAGGTAAACCTCATTCTACAAGGACTAATGCCTAGTTCGAATTAAGTAGTTCGAATTAAGGGCTGTGTAGCCACTTAATTCGAACTAGTTGGAGGCTAGTCCTTCCCAGATTGCCCTGGTGGCCACTCTGGGCACAACCAGAGAAACTCATCTGCCCCCCTCCCGGCCCCGGAGCCTTTAAAGGGGCATGGTCTGGCTACGGTGCCCGTGCCAGATGCAAGCCTGCCAGCACCCAGCCAGCAGACCCTGCACCTGGCATGGCACGAGCGAGCCACCCGCTGCCACCCAGCCCTCTGCCTCTTCCAGGAGCCTGCCCGGGGCCGCAAATGGCGGGCACCTGCCTGGTCTAGTGCAGAGATCGTGGACCTCATCCACGACCTCCGCACTAGGCACAGGAAAGTGGCCGCTCCTGGTGAGGTCACATGTGGAATACTGTGTCCCATTTGGGCTCCCCCACTACAAAAATGATGTGGACGCATTGGAGAGGGCCCAGCAGAGGGCAACCAAAATGATTAGGGGGCTGGAGCACATGACCTACAAGGAGAGGCTAAGAGATTTAGGCTTATTTAGTCTACAGAAGAGAAGACTGAGGGGGGATTTGATAGCAGCCTTCAACTTCCTGAAGAGAGGTTTCAAAGAGGATGGAGAGAGGCTGTTGTCAGTAGTGACAGACAGCAGACAAGGAGCAGTGGTCTCAAGTTACAGTGGGGGAGGTCTAGGTTGAACAAACTCAATGCCAAGAATAAAAATTCAACTATCATTCTGAGAATACAGGTACTGATTAGCAAGCAAAAGAATAACAACACTTCGCACTCCCATAGCTCTCCTCACAACACACCTTTTGGAATGCTGTCATATTCCTTCTTCAGGTATACAAAACAAAGGTGGACCAGATTAGCAAACTCCATGACCCCTTGAATATCTGTGACAGAGCAAAGAGCTGATCTGTTGCTTCAGAGCTGGGTAATAATCTATATTGTTCTTTCTGAATCTGATATTCAACTAATGGGTGTAATCTCCTATCCAGCAACCTGACATAGGCCTTTGCTGCTCAGGAAGTTGAGGAGTGCGAACCTCAGTTGGAACACACCCTCTAGTCTTTTTTCTTAAAAGATTTGGGACCACTACCTTGGTTTGCCAGTGCAGAGATACTGCACCAATACTGAAGATATATATTAACCATGACACTCCAATATTGTCCAGTGCTTTCAACATCTCTGGGCAAACCACATCCAGCATTCTCCATGGTCTCTCTAAACTCTTCTCAATCGCAGGCTTTCACTTCAAAGACTGTGTGATGGGGTACACCAACCCCGCACTGGTAGTGAAGGAGCTAACCAGGCTCGCTGGGCTCAGAAGGCCCCTCCCCTGCAGCCTGCTGGGCATGCTCCAGCTGTAGGGTCAGTATAAAGGCCAGCAGAGCAGCTCAGTCAGGGCTGACCACTTAAGGGGAAGGAGCTCCTACCAGAGCTGAGGAGCGACCACACCCGGGACCCACAGTCACCACGGGAGCCGCCGTCTCAGCTGGAGCTGCAGCCTCCACAGCTACCTCCAGGGCCCCCAATCCTACCAGAGACACAGCCGCCGCAGCCACCCCCAGCAGCTATCATGCTTGTCACAACTGACTGCCACAGCAGCAACGCCTACTGCTACAGAGCCAGCCACCGCCATCACCGGGCCAAGCGCTGCCACTGGTGTGTTCGCCAGCCCAGGTGGGAATGGGGCCAGCCAGCAGGCGGGGTTAGGAAGCAGCCCAGGGCACGGGGCAGGAGATAACCCAGAAAGCTCAGCATACTTAGGGGATGGCTCCCTGCTGAGCTAGTGGTGGGAGCCACCCAGCACTCAGAGGGCCCTGGGCTGCGGACCAGTGGAGAGGGAGGGCCCGGGCCCCTCTACTCTCCTACCCTGACACCCCAGACGGGGGGGGGGCAGCCCAGACTCAGCCGCTAGGCCAAATTGACCTGCAGACAAGGGGCAGTACAGACTAAGCTGCTGAGCCATATTGATCCCCAGACAGGGGGCAGCACAGACTTGGCTGCTAGGCCAGATGACCCCCGGACAGGGGCTGTACAGACTCGGCCGCTAGGTCATATTCCCCTCTCCTAAAGGGATGCAGGGTGCGCAACCCTGTGACAGACTGCTACAGCCCTCTTAGCCAGTTGGTACCTTTCAGCTGTATCAGAAATCCAGTTTATGAGCATTTCTCAGGCCTCCTTCCATATGGCAGGTTCCCTCACTACTAGAGCATGTCTTAGCGTTACCACCATGATAGGCACAAACTGCCTTCAGACCACAGCTTTTTGTGGCTCCCTCAACAACTGAGGTCCTGAATAATGGTCCATTCATACTCAATGTCCAAGATCTCACCCAAAATGCAGGACACATTCTTCTAGAAGTGATAATTGAAGTCTTTTCCTTCTGGTGTTCCACCAGACATTCCCAGGCAACACATACTGATTGTTTGGGCTTCCTCTGCCTATCTAGCTGGTGTCCAATACATGGGATCCAGCTCATTAAGTGGTGATCAGCTACCAGCTCTTCCCTTCTCTTCACTCAATCACCCAGAACATACAAGCATTGTGTACTGCCATGCTGATTTATTTAATGCAGCCATCTCAAGATCATCCAGTTTTATTGCCCCAAAGTGTAGGCTGTTCTTAAAAATGTTTTTGTAGTGATTTCTGTGTTGGCCTTGGTTCTGATATTCTTGGGCGAATTCTCCATAGAAATTTTTTCTGGGGAATTGATGTTCAGGCATCCTAATGCTGTGTCCAGTCCAGTGTAATTGGGCTTTTGTCAGCATGGCCTCAATACTTATGACATTTGACTTTTGGAGAACCTCCAGGTTGGTAATTTTCCTCCAGATCCCCATAATGACACAGAGACTGTATATGGAAGGTCTCTAGCTGTTCAGTATGCCGTTTGTATGATACCAGGTCGCACAGGCACAGAGGAGAGATGCAGGCACAAAAGCATTATAAAGTTTTGTTTTTGTTGAGAGGGGTGTTGTGGGATTTTAATACTTTGTTACAAGGTTTGAGAAGCTTTCTGTACCCGGTTTGTGATTTGTCAAGAGATCCATCATTGGGGATATTACTGCTAAGATAAGTAACACTGTCAACTTGCTTTAGTTGGATCCCACTAATGGATATGTCAGGGAATAGACACAGAGTGGTGAAGATGACTGATGGAATATCACAGTTTACTCCAGACTGATTATGAGGATTGATGATTCAGAGAAGCTATTTACAGTGCACAGAGATCTGGGGAAAATTTGAAAGTGGAAGTGAGCTTGGGTGAAAGTAATTATGAAATCATAGAGGTCATGATTCTAAGGAATGGTAGAAAAGAGAAAGCAAAATAGAGACAATTTCAAGAAAGCTGATTTTAGTAAACTCAGAGAACTGGTAGAGAAGGTCCCATGGGAAGCAAGACTAAGGAAAAACAACTGAAGAGAATTGGCAGTTTTTTAAAGGGACATTATTAAGAGCCCAAAAGCAAGCTATTCCACTACATAGAAAAGACAGAAAGTATGGCAGGAGAAGACCTTGGATCAATCGTGAACTCTAAAAGTCAAAAAGGAGTTGTATAAAAAGTGGAAACTAGGTCAAATTACAAAGGATGAATATAAGCAAATAATGCAAATAGGCAGGAGCAAGATTAGAAAGGCAAAGGCACAAAACAAGCTAAATCTAGCTAGAGACATAGGGGCTACGTCTACACTGGCATCCCTTCCGGAAAAGGGATGCTAATGTAGCACGTTGGAATAGGCAAATCCGCAGGGGATTTAAATATCCCCCGCGGCATTTGCATTTACATGGCTACCGCTTTTTTCCGGCTTGGGGAAAAGCCGGAGAAAAGCACCAGTCTAGACGTTATTCTCCGGAAAATAAAGCCTTTTCCAGAGGATTTCTTATTCCTACTTGAAATAAAAGAACAAATTAAAGATGATTTAGAAAAGTTAGATGTCTGCTAGTCACCAGAGCCTGATGAAATGAATACTAGAATACTCAGGTAGAGGTGGTATCTGAGCCTTTAGCTATCATCTTTGAAAAATCATGGAAGTCGGGAGAGATTCCAGAAGACCGGAAAAGGCAAACATAGTGCCCAACTACAAAAAGGGACATGCAGGTGGTGTTGTCTGTCATTATAGTAATAGACTTGCGAGCTATGTATGGTTGGAAGTGTTGCCATGCATATCTGACTGCTCGTAATTCAAGGAGGTTGATATGAAAAGTTTGTTCCATGAAGGACCATTTGCCTTGAGTTGTGATGGTCCCTAAGGGTATGTCTACACTTGCACCCTCGCAAGTCTATTACTATAATGACAGACAACACCACCTGCATGTCCCTTTTTGTAGATGGGCACTATATTTGCCTTTTCCGGTCTTCTGGAATCTCTCCCAACTTTCATGATTTTTCAGAGATGATAGCTAAAGGCTCAGATACCTCTTCTACCTGAGTATTCTAGAATGCATTTCATCATACTAATGAAGCACAGGATATTTAAATCCCTGCTTCATTGACTATTTCGAATGCCTGCATTTGCACCCCTAGTTCAAACTAGGGTGCAAGTGTGGTCATACCCTAAGTGGGCTCCCCAACCCATGAGTGACACGTTAGTCATACGTATGAGTGTGGGGGAAGGATGCTGGAATAGTATGCCATATAGCATGTTTCGAGGATTTTCCCACCATTGAAGGGAATTGAGGATGTATGGTGGGATAGTCACTATTTTGGACAGTTGGTCCCTAGAAGGCTTGTACGTTGTGGCCAACCATGACTGTAGGCCCCTCGTGGAGTCTGGCCAACTTGACGACATACGTTGTAGAATCCAAGGATTTTGAGGCATTCGTGTACCATCATGGTCGGAGCTGATTGTGCGCTCGTGACAAGGTCGCAAATGGTGTTGAATCTGTGTTCGGTCAGAGTAGCCTTTGCTGCCACCGTGTCGATGAAGGCCCCTATAAACCTCAATTTCCAGGTTGGATCTAGCGTGTATTTTGAATGGTTTATGTGGAAGCCGAGATTGACCAGAGAGCCCATGGTAATGTTGGTCATGGCCTTGGTTTCCTGAAGGGACGACCTTTTTTTGAGGCAGTCATCCAGATATGGAAATATCATGACTCCTTAACGCCGAAGTGAAGCCATTACGACAGCCAGAGTTTTGGAAAATACCCTGGGGGCAGTTGAGAGGCCAAAGGGGAGCACTCAGTACTAGTAGTGTTGGGTGCCCACCATGAATCGTAAAAAGCGTCTGTGTGTGGGATGGACCATGATGTGGAAGTAGGCATCCTGGAGGTTGGGAGCCAAAAGCCAGTCCCCTTGACCCAATGCGGGGATAACTGTTGCTAAGGTTACCATCTTCAAGCGGTGGTAGGCAATGTATTTGTTGTCTCCTCAAATCCAATATAGGTGCCATCCTCCATTTTTTTCTTGGATTAGGAAGTAAGCTGAATAGAAGCCCCGACCCTGGAATTCTAGTGGTACTTGTTCTATGGCACCCAATTGAAGAAGGTGCGAGACTTCTTGGTGGAGAAGGGTTTTGTGAGATGGGTCCCTGAAGAGGGATGTGGTGGGAGGCAAGGAAGCGAAGGGGATGGCATAACCGTGTTGGATCAGTTCTAGGACCCATTTGCCCAATGTTATTTGGGTCCATCTATAGAAAAAAGCTCGGAGAGGATGGCTGAATTCAGAAAGACTGGGCACAAGTGGTATTGGGGTGGTTTTCTGGCTCTCAACATATTTTTCAAATTTGTTGTTTGGCCACGGGTGGGTGGGTCGTAAAGGAGTGTTATTGCTCTTGGCGTTGGGGTCTGCGATGTTGTGACCTTTGTTTTTGACAGAAATCATATCTGGGTTGTTATCTAAAAGGCTCCTTGGGTCTCTGGTAGGTTGAGTACCTCGTTCTCTTAAAGGGGGGGAGTGTACATTCCCAGGGTCCTGAGGGTGGTACAGGAGTCCTTCATGGAATGTAGCACCTCATCTGTCTTAGCAGCAAAGAGGTTGGTCTTGTCAAAGGGTAGATCTTTGACTTTCTGTTGTAAATCTCTCGGGACTCCTAATGCCTGCAGCCATGAGATCTTGCGCAGTACGATGGCAGATGATGTAAAATGGGCCATGGTGCCTGCTACATTGTGGACTGTAGGGCAGTACAGGAAACGGTGTGGCCCTCCTGCATGATGTTAAGTAGAATTTGTCTCTTCTGTTCTGGTAAGTGTTGAACCAGGTCCTGTAGTTTCGAATAATTGGCATAGTCATAATCTGCGAGAATCGCTGTGTAGTTTGCCGTTCTAAGGAGCAAGGTGGCAGAGGAATAGACTTTGCGGCCCATGATGTCGACTTTTTTGTGGTCTCTGTCTTGTGGAGTGGTCTTGAGGTTAGGCTGTCTTCCCTTATGTCGAACAGAGTCCACAGCTAATGAGTTTGGTGGGGGATGAGTAAAAAGAAAATCCATGTCTTTAGGAGCAATTAAGTACTTGTGGTCTGCCCTTTTGTTAGTTGGGATAATGGACGCAGGGGTCTGCCAGATGTTATCCACAGGGTCCATAATAGCCTCGTCCATCAGGAGTGCTAGTCGGGAAGTAGTGGGAGGTTGCAGTGTACGTAGGAGCTGGTATTGCTTCACTTGTATATCTTGAAGGTCTCGCTCTTGAGCTAAGGCCACCCTTTTGAAAAGGTCTTGGAATTTTCTTGAGTCATCGCCGTATGGTGGGGTTTCGGCTGTGACTGCTTCACCAGGTGAGGATGAGGAATTGTGCAAGGGGAATCTGTCTTCCCCTTCTGAGAGGGAGTCTTGTATTTCGGAGTGAGCTGGAGAATTCGGCTCAGTTACTGAAGTAGTAATTGGAGGTGAAGCCGGTAGTGGTCTGGAGATAGTAGAAGGGGCACAGTGGTGGCTCTTCTTGGGACGTGGTTCCCACGGCTGCCATTGAGTGGTGTATGGTGGTGGTGGGTAACCATACTGTTGTGCATACCATGGTGGTGAAGGAGGAGAGTGTGTGTATTGCACTGAGCTGGGTTGCCAAGAGGGAAGTCTGAGAGCCGGACTGGAGTGTTGGGAGGAAAATCTACTCCCTGATTCCGTGCCCACCTCTCTCGGAGACGATCTGTGGGACTGCACCGACTGAATGGAGGAGCCCAGCAAAATCAGTGCCATTGGCATGTGGCTTTTTACTGGGGATCGGTAGTGCGCTCGTTCTTGAGTCGGTGCCGAGCCATGTGGTTTACTCAGTGCCAAATGACCCAGTAGAGGCATGTCAGTGAGGGGCTTCTTCGGCATGGATGTCGGTGCCGAGCAATCCTTATATTGGCTCGCCGGTGCGGCTGGTGCCATAGATGTATCCGTTGCCGCTGGTGCAGCCGGTGCCGATGGACTCTGTTTTGGCTCCGAATGGGTTCTCATATGCGGTGCTGGCGTCTTGGACGGTGCCATACCAGATGTGCCGGGCCTATCCGCAGTGCTGACCCGTGTGGGGGCAGAGGGACAAGATTTATCCATACCCTTGATCTAGGAGGATGGTTTTGGAGCCGCTGTAGTGTCCTCTGACTGTGGTCGAAGAGACTTCTCATAGAGGAGAGTCTTCACGGCACGCTCTAGCCATGAATTTTGAACAGTGGGGGCACTTTTATGTTTGATGTAACTCCCCCAGACTCTTTATACACTTGGAGTGCCCATCAGAAATGGGCATAGCATCACGGCACGTCTCGCAACTCTTAAAGCCAAGAGATCCTGGCATGAGGCGCAGGGGAAAAGCGGCAAGCTGCAACAAAAAACTTTTTTTTAAAACTTTTGACTAGGGCAGATAGTGGGGTTCAAATAACTTGGATAACGAGGTAACTGGAGGGATTAACTGGATATTTATCTAATTTTTTACAAAGGTCTTGAGAGGAAAAGAGGGTCTGTCTGCTGTCGAGGATGGTAGAGGAGGAACTGAAGAGCCACGCCACGCGTGCACACACCTAACAAATTCCAATGGCACAAGGGGGTGCTACAGCGCATGCGCGGCACAGTCGAAACTGCTGGAAAAGTCTCCAGTTGCTGATGCAAGGATGTACCAGCACCCAGAGTGGAGCCCAGAAGACCCAGAGTGGTGTCCTTCGGGGACACCACTCGAAGGAGAACTATTTTTAGCAGTTCAGATTTTGCTTGTTAGAAAAGAATACCCATTTTCTGAGTATCTTGAAGAAATTTCACAAAGAAGGAGAATGAACTCTTTTTAAAACACAACAACTTTTTCCATGGTCAATACTTACCAGATTGGCCATCACAATGGTGTCAAACATAACAGGATTATTCTTCATGCCCAGAGTGAACTGTAATCCCCGAGGAGGTTGTCCAGTGGCTACGTCAAAGCAATGTCCTTCAAGTAGGAGATATTCTAGTTCATATTCTCCTGTAACAACTCCTTCTACCTGTGGAAATCAATATTTTATCACTAGAATATCTGGTATGATATAGAGCAAGGGAGGGTATATATTAAAGGGGTATTGTTTTCTAGCTATTTAAAATATGTGATACAATTTGACTGCTACATTTCTCTTCCTTTGGATAGTTTCCACTGGAGTCAATACATTTGCCCTGATTTATACTGATCAGTGAGACATGTAACAATAATAACCACAATGATTAATAATTATAAAACCTACAACTAATCAAGAAAAAAACACCGTTTTTTAAAAAAGAATAGATGGAAATAAACAAACAAAAACAGTTGACTATTTCTAAGAAAACTAGCACTCGTTATTCTATGCTAAGTAAACTCTAACTGCTCTGACTTGTAGCCAAAGGCAGTAAAAAAGGAACTGAGGGAGGTATAATCATTGCAGCAGCACAAGACAGAGATTATACATGTATGATCCAACCAGGCACTGCTACCATAAATCTCTGATTATAAGCAGAGGGGTGCATGAATAACTACAGTAGAGGACCCACAGGGACATCACTTGAAGAATCTATAGTTTATTTTGAAAAAAAAGGTGAGTACTGCTGGAAAATAAAGTAGTAGATGTTATTCTTCCAAATATGTTCACAAATACATACTCGACACATTACGTTTAAAGGATATGAGAAACAATATTATGCATGTGCATTACTAAATTCTACAGATAATACAGATTAAATAAATGATTCTATGGAAGAGTGCAACTGGAAAGTTGGTAAGAGACAGTGAGTAAATTAAACAGTTTCTGTTAATGTAGGATTTATTAAAACATTTTATAATCTATTGGTGAAACCAATAAAGTACAAACTCTTCAATAGTATGCAACGAGCAAAAATGAAAAAGAACAAAACACATGGAAGATCCTGAATAAACAGAAAACTTCAAAACTCAATTATTGACAGATGAAGAAGAGAAGAGAAGAGAAGAGAAGAGAAGAGAAGAGAAGAGAAGAGAAGAGAAGAGAAGAGAAGAGAAGAGAAGAGAAGAGAAGAGAAGAGAAGAGAAGAGAAGAGAAGAGAAGAGAAGAGAAGAGAAGAGAAGAGAAGAGAAGAGAAGAGAAGAGAAGAGAAGAGAAGAGAAGAGAAGAGAAGAGAAGAGAAGAGAAGAGAAGAGAAGAGAAGAGAAGAGAAGAGAAGAGAAGAGAAGAGAAGAGAAGAGAAGAGAAGAGAAGAGAAGAGAAGAGAAGAGAAGAGAAGAGAAGAGAAGAGAAGAGAAGAGAAGAGAAGAGAAGAGAAGAGAAGAGAAGAGAAGAGAAGAGAAGAGAAGAGAAGAGAAGAGAAGAGAAGAGAAGAGAAGAGAAGAGAAGAGAAGAGAAGAGAAGAGAAGAGAAGAGAAGAGAAGAGAAGAGAAGAGAAGAGAAGAGAAGAGAAGAGAAGAGAAGAGAAGAGAAGAGAAGAGAAGAGAAGAGAAGAGAAGAGAAAAGGCTAACATATGGAAGGCCTACTTCATTGTTTCAATCCTAACTCAAGAAGAGGAGCACTTTCAAAAATACACTATTATTTCAACATATAAATGTAATTGCCTCTGCTGCTATTTTACACTAAAATGTTTTGCTATTTTTGTATAATTTGCTGCTTAATTCTTTGCATTTTGTTTATTTTATAAAGAAACAATGTTGTGAGGATTTTGAAGGGAGAAGATAGAATTTAAAAGGGGAGATTAACAAAATAATTCAATGAAATATGAAGCATTTATGCAAAATTATTACTGGTTTCTACTTATGTGATCCAGCTATAGTTTAGAAAGGTGTTCAGAAATTACTACTTACATCCTGTAAATGAATGTTATCAAGATCATAAGAACTGTTTACTGCTTCAACCAACCAGCTTTCAGGAATGATCATGTTTAGAGTCAAAAGTAGTGTTTCTGGCATTTCTAGAAACTTTGCCACAGGTCCAGAAGGAAAGAGTTTGTCAGCCCCAGAAGACAATTCTGGCTCCAGAACAAAACGGTAAAAGCTGTTGAAAATAAGTACATAGAAAGATTACATATTATACAATATGCAGGCTGAATTTTAATTACAAGAAAGTTCTTGTAAAAAATCATGTTAGAAGTCCATTTACTATATGAACAAAGTTTGAGAATATGACAGGACCATGTATTTGTGAGATGTGTTCATGTAATACTGTTTAACAAATGGGCTAAAGAGTAAGCATGGGAGGAATATTTCTCCTCTCACTCATTCTGGCATGGAAGATTCTCAATGCGTAGTAAAATGGGGACCCCGGACAGGGAGTCTGAAGAGAGAGGAGCCATCTGGCTGTCGAGTTTCCGGCTTCCCAGAATTCCAGCCAGTAGCAGCATTACATGACAGAAGAAAAGGCTCTCAGGGCAAAACATGTTTCTGACTAGCTCCAACAGAAGAAGGGGTACAGAGGAGAAGAGAGATATCTCCCTGCCTACCAGAAAGAACAGACCCCTGGAGTCACAAAACGGCCCTCTTGGTTTTCTTTCCTCTGCTGTTACTCCAGAAGAGAAGAACAGACAGATGGCTGACAGCCTGGCCACCAAAGGCCACATGCGCACCCAGGAGCAGGTGTGCATGAAGATAAAAGAGCTGAGGCAGGCCTGTGCCAGGGCCACAGGGGGGCAGCTCCCAACCAGTGGCAGATCCAGATCACTTGCCCTACTTTGAAGCCCTGGACCGCATCTTGGGGGGCCGGACGGCCTGTGCCCCCCATGTGGTCATCGACTCTGGGACATGGAGCAGGAAGAAGAGGAGGATGGCCAGGAGTCGCAGGAGCCTGGAGGGAGAGTGGCACTCACCCTGGACCCCCGACATATATCAGCAGCACTATCACCACTGTCTTCCGAGTCTGGGGAGCCCTCGAAATGTGAGTGCCAACACTGTCCCTTTATGCGGGGCGGCAGGGGGGAGAGGGAGCCCAGGGACCGTGCATGTGGGCCTTGCTGAGCCTGGATTACGCAGCAACCTGTGCATGTGCCGGGCCAGCCAGGGCTTATGGTCCCAGATGGCTGCCACACAGGGGCCCTGGCCCATTACCCACACACATGTATGTATGAAGGCACATGATATGCTACGTACCCTCCATACCCACTCCCCTCCAGGGACGCTGAGGCCCCCGCACCCACAGTGCTGGGAGACAGGGGGGCCGGCAAGACCTCCAACCCTGAGCTTCTCCTCCTCTTTCCTCCCCCTTCCAGTTCCCTCCTCCCAGGTTTACTCCTACCCTCTCCCCACTCCAGTTATGGTCAATAAAGAGAGGGGTTTTTTTTGGCAACAGGTGTGTTTTTATTTGACATCAGGAAGGGGGGATTAGGGAGGGGAAAGTGGAAGGATTTGAGGGTGGAATAAGGCACAAGGCCCCAGTGGAGCATACCAGGGAGACTTCATTCCTCCTCTGTCTGGAAGCTCTCCTGCAGGGCCTCCGAGATACCGATAACCCGCCGATGGACCTCCTGGGTGGCAGCCGTGTGGACCTGTGCGTACAGGCCAGCCAAGTGGTTGGCCTCTGCCATCCAGGCTGGCAGGAAAACCTCCCCCTTCCGCTCACACAAATTGTGCAGCACACAGCACACTGCCATCATGTGTGGAATATTCCTCTCAGAGAGGTCAAAGCTGGTGAGGTGGCATCAAAATCGGGTCCTCTCCACCACAATGCAGACCCTGCTGAGCCTGGCATTAAAACCCTGCCGGGAGGGGCTGAAGTGTCTCATTTAGAGCTTCATTAGCCAGGGTTGTAGCAGGTAGGCCGCAGCCCCTACCAGGCACACAGGCATGTCCACGTCCCCGACCCTGATGTGGCGGTCAGGGAAGAAGGTCCCAGTGTGCAGGCTCTGGCACACGGAGGAGCTGTGGTACACCTGCGCTTCGTGTGCTTTGCCGGACCAGCCCACGCTGATGTCCAGGAAGCAGCCTCAGTGGTCAGACACGGCCTGCAGAATGACTGAGAAGTACCCCTTCCAGTTAATGTAAAAGGAGGCCTGGTGTTCCAGGGAACAAATGGGGGTGTGCGTCCCATCGATTGCCTCCCCCCCCCCAATTGGGGAAGCCCAGGGCACCAAATCCCTCGATGACCACAGAGGCAGATGACTCTGCGGAGCAGCACTCTGTTGATGGCCTTGACCACCTGCAGAGGGACACACAAAACTGAGAGTCACTGGGGTGCCAGGGTGGCTGACAGTGCTC